TTATGACCACGCCCATCGGGTATCTACACATAATCAACAGTGTGATATGGGTTAAATGACTTGTACCATAGTTTTCAAAAATCATTCATATGTAAGTCATCTTAGGAATCGGTCGGACTGATTCGCGTGATTGAAACATTAAGTGTTTGGTTTCAAAGATGCATTTGGATTTTCTATGATTTTATGCTCCTTCGTGTCCTTCTGACCACGTCCATCGAATATAGGGTAAGTGATTTGTATACAATACTTTTCAAATTTTGCCCTAAACTCGGCACTCAGGGTCATTGAGCAGTGAAGGATCTTCTTCCTGTCCAAACCTTCTGGGATTCAACTCCTTACTTTGTGACTCTAGGGCAGGCACTTTAACCACTGGGCTCCCCAAGCGACATAAAAATTTAACATATCTAGGTCCGTTTAAAAAGTTTGATTGATGTAATTGAAAAAATGACGAGTTAGGTTTCAGTGATATATGTTAATTTGATATGTTTTTTTTCTCGTAAATTTCAATCGTCAAAATTACATACTAGCAATTTAAATTTATTATGAACTTGGTTTAACTTAAATTTTTGTAAACCTGATACAAACTTTGCCGTGCACAGTGGTACGTTGATTGAAATGTTTGTTAGGGGTTATGTATATTTCAATTTAATGAAAATTAGATCTTTGATCGGCTAGATCCGCAACCGAAAAGGTTATTTAAGTACAGTAGTGTACAGATGTTTTTATGTCAAGTATTTACCGCGTTTCCTTTGTTGGTTATCAAAACAACGATATAGGTATTGGAATCTACGAAGCTAACGTCACCCTGGTCATTACACTATCCCGAAAAATGTTTTAAAAATCAAGCGATTTCTGAAGTTTTTTTTTTCTTCACTTTTAACTAAAGTTAAAGTATTTATGGCCGTTTTTAACTGTTATTTATTACAAAATGCTGTAGACAATTGAGAATTTTTACTCCTTTTTACTACCCTTAATTTGGTATAAAACCACCAAGATAACAAGCCCATATCATGCATACGATTGTTTCATTTATTTAAAAACCGTGCTTGATCGTTTTTGTCCCGACTCGATGGGCGGAGTTATAGAAAAGTGTGGGTTATGTACAGAAAACCCACACTTTTAACAAAAGAAATCACACCTAACTATGGTACAATTCTCAATAAACCGCCACCTTTTGTTATTTAGAAATCATGGCGGTATAACGAATTTGGCGATGAATTGAATTTCCCATCTTATAGAAAACAAGAAGTAGAGTTACCGTTCTTAGAAATACCATTTAGCGTTTCTATTCTTATTATTATATGTACATGTATATAAAAACATATTTCTGATTGAAAATACTTCAAGTATTTTTTTTTTTAATGTACAATTTCGCTGAAACAAAATGTGCAGTTATGAAATAAAGATGCATGTAAATCTGCACGTCTTATATTGAAAAAAAAACATGCTGGGTCGATCGTCGTGATATATTGCCGATAGTACGTAAAATGAATTCTTGAATAAATTCATTATTTATTGCATCATTGTTAATGAAACGTTCACAATTTATATCGTATAAGTATTTTTTCAGCAAACTTTGCAGAAAACAAAATTATTATAACAGTTCATGTTGACATTATTGTTTATTTGATTCTTGTTTAATTACTTAATTGTATGTACCTCGTCTGCCTTTGCATGCGTTACAACAGGGATAGCATCAACCAATTAGCTGCGCTTTACTGACCCCATGCACCTGTGGTGGTATATCGAGATAATTGACACTTTAAAATACATGTTTATTGTGAAAACAGGGTGGCGGATGGGGGTATGCGAATTTGGCGTCATAAAGAGAATTTTATATAGCAGGAAAAACGTTCCTGGGAAATCATGGCGGTATTGCAAAAATGGCGATGAATCGAATGGCGATAATTCGAGAATTGACTGTACATGTATTGTCTTCACTTTAAATTTGTTTTCACATCTTCAGAAAAAAGGAATTAAAAAATGCTTTATTGTTTCGGAATTTGACAATCACCTTTTCAGTTTAAAATATTCACAAATTTGACAACTTGTAGAGAAATTTCAGATACCAATAAAAAAATTTAGGCACCATATAGTGACTAATTTATGCTACATAAAACTGAAATAATGGTTCTCAGGCCTACACTCATCCCATTTGAGGTAGCCATATTCCAAATTTTTGATAAGATTGAAAGTAGATAATGCTGAGACCTGCAATCTCAAAAAAAAAGTTCCATCCTTATTTCTTTTAGTTTAGTACTTGAGTATTGTGTCTGTTAGACATTTTCTCAGAGATTTGGCTACTTTGTTTAAAATACATTCAACATGTATAATAATGGATACATTGTTCACACACTGATAAGCAATTGATAATGCAAACCTATTGATCAGATATGGAAAGTATATCTTGAACAAAGAATTTTAATCATTATTTTATAGTCAACGAGTATCGAATACTAAAATTGGTATCGGTTACTCGGATGTATATTTTTGAATATTTCTAAGCTAATTCATTAATGCATTAAAACATCGGTTTTAAAAAGAAAATGTTCATTGCACTTGTACATACGGTAATTAGGGTTTCCCACACCTCTAAATGACCGTTATCGCCTGTGGCAGTGTTTATACAGTAATTATCGTGACCAAGCACCTGCTACTTGGCTTTTCTCACCTTCGGTAGTCTTCTACCCTTATTTTTGCTTTGCTTTAATGATTTGTTTTCACTGAACATCATTTAATGTCAATTATAAATAAATAATTTAGATAAATTTGTCATTTCTCCATGAAGCCGTAAACTTTCGGGAAAAGTGACAGATGATAATACACGTGCGATCGTTGATATGGTTGCGTTTGATTACATGCCAATGCAAATGGTTGAAGGCAAAGGCTTAAAAATTTGATGTCCATCGTTACACCAAACTACAACATACCGTCCCGTAATACTATTAGGATCGAAAAGTGTATATCCGCTGTTTGAACATGAAATTATACTGTAAAAAAACGCAACTAAGAGTTACATTACAATTACGATGCAGATTTTTTTCTAAACAAAAACACTGTGAACCATTTGTGATTTGATTTTGTGTGTTTATCTGATGAATAAATTGAACTTTTAATTAAAAAATATCATATTTAAAAATTTCGTCGGGCAAGAAGTGTTGATAATTGTTACAACAGAAACACATTTACGGGAAACCTCCCATCAGAGCAAGAAGTTTAATTTCTACCATAGTTTACAATATGTTTTACAGTTATCAATTTACTTTTTTCATATTTACACTTTTACCGAGTACCCGAGTACTCGATCGGAAAAACGTCCGAGTAACCGAGTATTAAAAATTGACCGATTTGACATCCCTATTTTATAGAAATTTCTGGTGTAAAAAAAATACCTGCCTCATCCACTTTGTTGTCATGCAGTTATCGATAAATGATAAGAAAAGAGCCTAGGTCTGTCCCTCACATCTCTTTTGGAGAAAATTGGCTGGAGAATCAGATAATGAAATTTATATAGCCATGGTCCCCAAATTATAGCCCAGATACGCTTAAGTTGAAACTGTTCTTACATATGTTTAAGAATACTGCAATGCAATAATTATAACAATAAATGCAATAATTATATCTACTTAGTACAATCACATATTTTCTTTCATGAATCGACAATTAACACTTACAATAACACAAACTCAGAAGAGGTCTTTGATTCTTAGGCTATACAAACTGTGTATTCTTAATATAGAAATGTATATTAAAAGATATTTGATTTTTAGGAAACATTTGTCATCAACTAAGGAAAGTTTGTCAGATAAAGATACAGGTTAACTTTGGTAGCCCTGCTTGGATATTAAGATGAGGAAAAGCAGGAATATGTTATTATGGGAATCATTGATTTACTGTGGATGTACTTTTTTCCACGGGGTCTTAATTCCGCGGAATCTCAATTTCCGTTTAATCCGCAGGTAGAAAATTATGCTGATTTTTTTAGACTGTCACTATATGCCTTACATTTATATTAAGTATGCTTGGACAAATTTCCGCGGAAAATTTGTGACCGCGTACATAGTGTAATCTGATACCATGCGGAAAAAAGTACTTCTACAGTATATATGACAATTTTAGTTTAAACTTTGTCCTACATGTATCTCACTGAATTCATCACATTCAGATTTAAATGACAACATTTGATCGTCAGTATTTCTAACACTGATATCTTGAATACCATGGATATATCAAAGTAAATTGGAAGTCACAACCACTTACCCTTTAATTAAGTATAAAATCCACCAATATCTCTAACTTTTTTCTTGGGTTTGAAGACTGTATAGTAGAACTCCTGTGTCTCGAACACGAACATCTCAAATACAGTGTATTTGTCGAAGTCGCTTTGAAGTTCCAAGCATCTCCTTATTCCTTAAGTATTTTACCCTGGATATCTTGAATCCTTTCTTATCTTGAAGTTTTTCTTGGTCCCTTCAAGTTCGAGATAAAGAGGTTTGACTGTATATGGTTTTGTTTTATTGAAAACAATGATCGGTTAACTTAAGTGGAATAATTACAGTTTGTTTTTAAAAAATATCAAAGATTTGAATGCAGATTTTACTTGTCTTGCTTGACAAAGTTTTATCATTGTGAAGTTTTAACTTAGTTTTCCCAGTACAATTTCAATTTATCCATGCAGTTACTGGGTAATTACTACAAATTATAGTTTGCTTCCTTAGTGGGTGTAAAATTTGCGATTTTGCTTGCTCAAAGAAATGTCAAGAATTTTGACGCAACTTTTTTGGCGGACACAAAGTTCTGTAACATTGGATAATACAGAAAATTCATCTTTAAAATATTAAGTTTTAGTAAGTTTAATATGTTTGATTTACCCAAAAGTTTGAGTACATACAATACCAGATGAAGGATAGCAACGGACTGATCAAAGTTATTAAAGTTATTTTTTAACTGTTTTAATTGATCAGCTTGATTTATGATGGTAACTTTCTTCATTATGACAGGAAGTGGTCCCTGATTGGCAGAACGCGGCCAGCGGTCTTTTGGTGGCTCTCGGTGCGCAGTATTGTGATGAAGTGATGGCCGAAATGTTTGAAAGATTTCAACCTGGCACATTGCCGCATTATTTTGTTGTCAGGACTATTGGCAACTTAGCTCAAGCAAATGGTAAATAATGGCATCAAACCTTTGGGTATAATGGCAGTTTGCTTGGTTCAGTGAAAACTATTGCTTATTCAAGCTAGTACATGTAGGCTTATATAAATGGTACACATGTACTAGAATTAATGTTACGAATTATAATAAATTCATTATTTGTTTGCGACATTAAACAGACTCCAAAGAAATTTTTGCTTCAAAGTATAAAATTTTATGTTTTGTTTTTGCTTTATCCTGTTTTAGTATTTGATTCCATTATTCCTAGTAATGATTGACCAGTGACTGAATTATTTCTTAACAGTGTACAGAATGGTTCCCCACCTGACGGCTGTTCTAAGTACCACCCTCCCAATGCTGGGGATGGTCAAACATGACAACATGAAATGGGTGTTCTCATCAGGTAGGCTGCTATTACTATTTATAGACAGGGGAACCCTGAAACTCACCCTGCAGAGTAACATATACATTAAGTTCTGACTCTCTTGTTTGATGATTTTTCTATGATTTTGTCATGCACACATTTAATCAGAATTGCTGGCTTGTGGCTATTAATTTTCACCCAAAGCATTTATGTATAGAAGAAAATGATGAACCATCTATGTATATTTGACTACATTCCTGTCTTTCAAATTTTCTAATGTCCGTAATTTTTTCATATTTGACTGATTGTTTATTCAGTTAACACTTAGAGTTTATAAGCTTGTGAAAATACTTAGTACCATGCATGGATTTTCCCAATTTTATGGACAGAAAAAGAGCTTTGACAATGATTATATTATGATATGAATATTGGATAATTACGTTTCTCATTGAAATAATTCTCTTTTTCTGAATCTATTTTCTGTGCAACAAATTTGAAATGATAAAATAATTTTAATTTCTTTGAATACACAGTATATTTGTAATTTATCGTATCTTTAATTATATTTAGACATTTATTGTATGGTTTATAATTGTAGTTTAAGATTTAAATGAACATTTTAAACATAAGTTACACATATATATATATATGTATGTAAGTCATTACCAGTTCAGTATTAAGATTTCTTAATTTTCCCCCCACAGTATGAATAACAGAAAGGCATTTATCAAAACAAATAATTTAATTAAGTTGTTAAACAATTTTTACATATATCCCAATTAAAAGCTGCTAGAAAGTTCTTGAATGAGGACAAAAAAAAACTGAAAAGCCACTTAAAGGTCACTGAAAGACGACAGAAAGGGCACAAAAAGGTAACCAAAAAAAAAGGTGTCCACTGAATGATGACTGAAATGTATCTGAATATTGTTGCTGGAAAGTCACTCAAAATATACCTGCCATTTAGTGACTGAATGGCCCCTGAAAAGTAACTGAAATTTTTAACTGAAAGGACCTCCTGTGGTTTAGCCACCATCTCTAACACTCTGATGTCCAGTTTATACATTACAGCTCTGTCCAAATTCAGTGAGGCCATCATTGAGTACTGTGCCAACATAGACAAGGCCCCTGACCAGACCATCACAAAGGACCGCTTCTCCCAGGAGATTGGCTCCGCATTCGATGTCCTGTTCTCCACCTGGCTACAGTCCAAAGAGGCCAAGGTCAGTCTAGAACAAGGTAGGAGGGAGGCAGTTAGAGGAGGGCTTTAGATATGTTTGTGAGGGAGGGAGGCAATTAGAGGAGGGCTGTAAATCTGTGTGTGAGGGAGGAGGCAGTTAGAGGAAGGCTTTAGATCTGTGTGTGAGGGAGGAGGCAATTAGAGGAAGGCTTTAGATCTGTGTGTGAGGGAGGAGGCAGTTAGAGGAGGGCTTTATATCAGTGTGTGATGGAGGAGGCAATTAGAGGAAGGCTTTAGATCTGTGTGTGAGGGAGGAGGCAGTTAGAGGAGGGCTTTAGATCTGTGTGTGATGGAGGAAGCAATTAGACGAGGGCTTTAGATCTGTGTGTGAGGGAGGAGGCAGTTAGAGGAGGGCTTTAGATCTGTGTGTGAGGGAGGAGGCAGATAGAGGAGGGCTTTAGATCTGTGTGTGAGGGAGGAGGCAATTAGAGAAAGGCTTTAGATCTGTGTGTGAGGGAGGAGGCAGTTAGAGGAGGGCTTTATATCAGTGTGTGATGGAGGAAGCAATTAGACGAGGGCTTTAGATCTGTGTGTGAGGAAGGAAGCAGTTAGAGTAGGGCTTTATATCAGTGTGTGATGGAGGAAGCAATTAGACGAGGGCTTTAGATCTGTGTGTGAGGGAGGAGGCAGTTAGAGGAGGGCTTTAGATCTGTGTGTGAGGGAGGAGGCAGTTAGAGGAGGGCTTTAGATCTGTGTGTGAGGGAGGAGGCAGTTAGAGGAGGGCTTTAGATCTGTGTGTGAGGGAGGAGGCAATTAGAAGAGGGCTTTAGATCTGTGTGTGAGGGAGGAAGCAGTTAGAGTAGATCTGTGTGTGAGGGCTGAGGCAATTAGAGGAGGGCTTTAGATCTGTGTGTGAGGGCTGAGGCAATTAGAGGAGGGCTTTAGATCTGTGTGTGAGGGAGGAAGCAGTTAGAGGAGGGCTTTAGATCTGTGTGTGAGGGAGGAGGCAGTTAGAGGAAGGCTTTAGATCTGTGTGCGAGGGAGGAGGCAGTTAGAGTAGGGCTTTAGATCTGTGTGTGAGGGAGGAGGCAATTAGACGAGTGCTTTAGATCTGTGTGTGAGGAAGGAAGCAGTTAGAGGAGGGCTTTAGATCTGTGTGTGAGGGAGGAGGCAGTTAGAGGAGGGCTTTAGATCTCACAAGACGAAAGACTACCTTTAAGCAGTCGCTTAATGGTAGCTTAATGGTGACATAATGGTGGCTTAAAGAAGTCAATTCCTTTAAGCCACCATTAAGCTACCATTAAGCTGCAACTTACAGGTGCTTAATGTCCAAACTTCATTAAGCTACCATTAAGCCACCATTAAGCTGAGCTTAATGGTGACTTAATGGTCAACCCTCATTAAACTTTTACGCATCTTATATAGAATCTTTGAACTAACTTTTAGTTATTTTAATATCATTTACGCAAAATCTATTCCAACTCATAATTCTGTCTCGATCATAATTTTTACGAGTTTTTTGTCAACATGCATAAACTTGATCACTGGGAACAAAGTTAGCTAATGGCCACAGGGGCTTGCTCGAGGTGTCTAATTTTTTCTTAAAATCATTTACAGTGATAATAAAACAAGACATCCTGTATCAGAACCGTATATTATTTTTTTAAATACATCATTATTACATGCGTTGTTTTTATTTTTAGTGTATATGATTTTTAAAAATAATTAATTATTACACACCGTGAGCAAGTCCTTGTGAAATGTCTTAAATTTACAATACCAAAAATCAATTTGTTCTTAAAATTATCTATATTCATGAACACAAAATATATATTACTTTTTAAAAACAAAATGATATTTTTATTTCATGTGTTAAAAGAAACATTCCGCTACAGAATTCCAGGAATATAACTATATAATCTCATGAAAAAAAATCTCTGTCCTTTTTTTTGGGGGGGGGGGGCTACTGGTATACAAATGTTTAGTTTTCAAAGATTGACTTTTACCATGAAAAACTTTTTAATGGCTTTTACATCATGAATAATTCTAATTAATTCGTTATTTTTTTAAATAATGCAGCGGTAAGTATCTGTCAAAATCTAGTCGGTCTTCAATGATTGTTAGTTCAAAATCGATTTTCAGAGGAACGGCTGATCAGACTAAACATGACATCCGACCAGATGTATACACATTGAGAAACGGGGTAAGATTAACAGATGATCAGTGTACAGTAAACCGACTGGTCAGACAATGGACCTTAATTAGGTGTCCCCCCGTCCCCGGTTAACTAACAGGAAACTATACATACACAACGTACACTGACAGATTTTAATGATCAATTATTTTTTAAAAAATTTTAAATTTAACGCAAGCATATAACAAATTAAAAATTATGAATCATCGTAAAAAGTCAATTATTTTGATACCCATTATGCTGCAAAAAGAATTGAAACTGAATATGATATTCTAAAAAAAGTTTTTGTAAACGTAATTCATGGTAATTAACCAGGTAACTCTTACAGGAGGATTGTCACTAAATTGTTGACACAGAAACCGTTAATCCGCAGTATATTAAAAATAAAAGTAGAATCTGTTTTTCCTCTTTCTTTTTCGATGATAGACTTTTGTGTTTTATCTATAAATAATTTAATTTCAGTTGTAACGCGTCATTTGATAGGTTAAACGTTTTTTCCATTTTGTATAACATAACTTGCCTACGTCACAATGAGTTACGTCAAAAACGTATCACTCCGCTTGACGTTACTTTTAAAATAATGCTCACTTTGAAGCCTTTTTCTGGAGGAAATATTGTCTCATTGTCTACATTGAAATTAAATTATAAGAAATGAAGCTTATTTCAACTTATGTTATCCGATATAACAAAACTTGGGGCAGTTTAGTTACGCTTACTTATAAACCGCTTCGCGGTTTATAAAGCGTAAACTGCCCCAAGTTATGTTATATCGGATAACATAAGTTGAAATAAGCTTCATTCCTTAATTAATTTATTTTCAATCATGATTTAATGCTTACATTTCGAAAATTTTCGAATAACAGAGCGAAGAACTCAGTCACATTACATCAATAATAATAATAATAATAATAATATAATAATAATAATTCTTTATTTAAAGAAGGTAACCCGATTAGTGCACGCACTATTCTTCCCCGGGGCCTTCTATAGACAAATTATCAACATACATACATACATACATACATATATATAAATATACACAATCAATAAATAATCATAAGCTATTTCTACATTGTTTTACAAATTTTTTGACTTGATGCTTGAAAGCATTGAGTGTTTGAGACATTCTTATATGTACAGGTAAATTATTCCATAAGATAGCACCAGAGTATTGAAAGGAGTTCTCAAAGAGTTTACATTTATGAGATGGTACACAGAGGTCTAAATTAGATTCAGATCGAAGATTGTATCGATTATCACACTGGAAATCAAACATACTATTTAGATAAGTAGGGTGAGAGTTGAACAATGATTTATATAACAAAACATATTTATTTACAATAAGTTGCTCATACACTGTGAGCCAATCTACTCAGTTTCTCAAAGAGAGGTTGTGAGGGCGCATCAGGAGGAGCATCTAAAATACATCTTGCAGCACGTTTTTGAAGCTTATATACTCTGTCAAGATTTGAGTGAGATGTATTACCCCAAACAGTTAAACAATAATCAATTGAAGGCATAATATATGCATTGTAAAACAGCTTGCGTGTTTGAATAGGAAGAAACTTTTTAATTCTACGGAGGGCAGAAATTTTACGTGACAGTGTTTTACAAACATGGTCAATGTGTACATTGTATTGTAAAGAATTATCTAAATAAACTCCAAGAATTTTTTCATTTGATACAATATCAAGTTTTCTGTTAGATACAAACAGATTAATTTCATGCTCAGAAAAATTTGATCTCTTTTGATGCGTACCAACTAACATGCATTTAGTTTTTGTAGCATTTAGAACCATTTGATTTTGAGAACACCATTTTTCTATAAAAGCTATATCCGTTGATAATGTATCTACAATAGTTTGAGAATCTTTACTTGATGCATGTAAAGTGGCATCATCTGCAAATAGGTCTAATTTGGATTTTGTAATACATAAGGGAAGATCATTAATGTAAAATAAAAACAGAAGAGGACCTAGTATAGATCCCTGTGGAACTCCCGCTGTGACTTGCTGATAAGATGAATGTTTGTTGGACAGATGTACACTTTGAAGTCTTTCACTTAAATATGATCTGAACCATTGTAAAGTTATTGCATCAAAGTTATAACATTGTAGTTTTTTAAGTAGAATATCATGATTGACAAGGTCAAAGGCTTTACTGAAATCAAGAAAAACAGTACCAACAAGTTTACCTTGGTCCATTTCATTTAACCATTCATCTGTAATTTTTGTAAGGGCTGTTTGGCATGAATGTAGTTCTCTGAAGCCTGATTGAGAATCTACTATAAGATCAAAATCCGAAAAAAGAGATCGTATATATTTTGCCACATGTACACAATCTAAAAGCCGAACTCAGTGTAGAAATTTATATTGATGTGTTAAGATCCACAAATAAAATTGTTTATATTTTGATTAATAAATCAATTCAAGACTTTTGGAAATGTTCAACAAAATACTAGTAAATACCTTTACAAGTCCAAACAAATTTTGAAAAAAATAAAGGTTAAATATTTAATATTTTCAGAACATTATCAAGAGCGGCGATAGCCTAATGGATAAAGCGTTCGCCTTGCAACCCTATGGTCATGGGATCGCGCCCCGACTGTGGCGTTTTTGTTTTTTTTTTGGATTTTGAATTTCGTTCTTTTTCATTATTTTTACCAAATCAAGATATAAGCGAACTCTACATTTATAATATTGATAACAAATCACTATAAAAATAATTTTTCACCCATATAAACAATATTATCGACTGCGTAATGTGACTTAATGGTGGCTTAATGGTGGCTTAATGGTAGCTTAATGGAGTTTGGACATTAAGCACCTGTAAGTCTAGCTTAATGGTAGCTTAATGGTGACTTAATGGTGGTCTAAAAGTTACCATTAAGGACCTGTAAGCCACCATTAAGCTACCATTAAGCTACATTTAAGCACCCATTAAGGACCTTGAGTTGGCTTAATGGTAACTTAATGGTGGTGTAAATGTTACTTAAAGGTGCTTAATGGTGACTTAATGGTGACTTAAAGAGAACCATTAAACCACCATTAAGGACCTATAAGCCACCATTAAGCCGGACTTAAAGGGTGTGTTTCATCTTGTGTCTGTGTGTGAGGGAGGAGGCAATTAGAAGAGGGCTTTAGATCTGTGTGTGAGGGAGGAAGCAGTTAGAGTAGATCTGTGTGTGAGGGAGGAGGCAATTAGAGGAGGGCTTTAGATCTGTGTGTGAGGGCTGAGGCAGTTAGAGGAGGGCTTTAGATCTGTGTGTGAGGGAGGAGGCAGTTAGAGGAGGGCTTTAGATCTGTGTGTGAGGGAGGAGGCAGTTAGAGGAGGGCTTTAGATCTGTGTGTGAGGGAGGAGGCAGTTAGAGGAGGGCTTTAGATCTGTGTGTGAGGGAGGAGGCAATTAGAGGAGGGCTTTAGATCTGTGTGTGAGGGAGGAGGCAGTTAGAGGAGGGCTTTAGATCTGTGTGTGAGGGAGGAGGCAGTTAGAGGAGGGCTTTAGATCTGTGTGTGAGGGAGGAGGCAGTTAGAGGAGGGCTTTAGATCTGTGTGTGAGGGAGGAGGCAATTAGAGGAGGGCTTTAGATCTGTGTGTGAGGGAGGAGGCAGTTAGAGGAGGGCTTTAGATCTGTGTGTGAGGGAGGAGGCAGTTAGAGGAGGGCTTTAGATCTGTGTGTGAGGGAGGAGGCAGTTAGAGTAGGGCTTTAGATCTGTGTGTGAGGGAGGAGGCAGTTAGAGGAGGGCTTTAGATCTGTGTGTGAGGGAGGAGGCAATTAGACGAGGGCTTTAGATCTGTTTGTGAGGGAGGAAGCAGTTAGAGGAGGGCTTTAGATCTGTGTGTGAGGGAGGAGGGATGTGATTTGGGTTCTACTGTTCAGTTATGGGTGAAGGGACAACTCTGATCAGGTTTGTGAGCAGTATGCAAGGGTCTGATAAAGACTGGTGTTGTTCAGTTATGGGGTGAAGAGAGTGTTTGATTAGGCTTGTCATCTAACTTGTTTATTTGAGAAAATAACATTCATTTTACAAAAGTTGAGACAGCTTCCTGTTTTTAGCTCTACTGGTCAGAGACCAGAAGAGCTTATGCGATAGTAATGCGTCCGTCGTCCGTCCGTCCGTCTGTCTAGCTGTCTGTCTGTCCGTCTGTCTGTCTGTAAACAATTTTTCAAAATGCTACTCCTCCTACAGTTTTGGTCTGATTTCAGTATAACTTGGCACACAAGTAGACTACACTAAGATACATAATTCTGTGTATCGGTTTTTGATTTCGATGAACGGTGTTGCCGTGGTTATTAAAGATAGAAATTTCTGTGAAATTCTTTCAAAATGCTACTCCTCCTACAGTTTTAGTCTGATTTCAATATAACTTGGCACACAAGTAGACTACATTAAGATACACAATTCTGTATATCGGTTTTTGATTTCGATGAACGGTGTTGCCGTGGTTACTAAAAATAGAAATTTCTGTGAAATTCTTTCAAAATGCTACTCCTTCTACAGTTTTAGTCTGATTTCAATATAACTTGGCACACAAGTAGACTACAATAAGATACATAATTCTGTATATCAGTTTTTGATTTCGATGAACGGTGTTGCCGTGGTTACTAAAAATAGAAATTTCTGTGAAATTCTTTCAAAATGCTACTCCTTCTACAGTTTTAGTCTGATTTCAATATAACTTGGCACACAAGTTGACTACAATAAGATACATAATTCTGTATATCGGTTTTTGATTTCGATGAACGGTGTTGCTGTGGTTACTAAAAATAGAAATTTCTGTGAAATTCTTTCAAAATGCTACTCCAAATACAATTTTAGTCTGATTATAATATAAATATGGCATGCAAGTAGACTGCACTAAGAACATAAAGAGACTTAATCAAGGATCATTATTCTATTTATTGCTGTTGAAAAGTTTCAATTTCCAACTGCTTAAGTACTTCTCTCTTCCTTTGCTATAAGTACAAACCAGTAGAGCTTCAGTCTCGACAGAGACTTCTGGTTACTTATGATTTCTGTAAAATGGATTACATAGGTGTCTATTAAATAGACAATTTTCACTGTATATAAATTTCATGGTCAGAGTAGAAAGGGTGTTGGATTACATGTTGAAACGAACATGGAAAATAGTTAAATCGAAATGAAAATAAAGGTTGGAATTCACAGTGAAATGGATTGCACTGATGTCAAATTGGACAGTTTTCACTGTATATAAATTTCATGGTAAAAAACCCTAACATTAAAAGAAATAACTGATCCAGTTACAATGACAATGTGTTATGAGGAATGACATTTTGAACTAACTTTAGATATTTGGGGCACATCCAAAGGTAAGGAGCATTTATAAGAACCTTGTATGGAGAATGAATGCCTATAGAAATTATAGCTGATCAATCTTGTATGTCATTTTGTACTGTTTTATATTGCTGTATATATCTAGGAATTGAAGATCACTTACAAAGCAAATTTCAGCTTCTTTTTGGATAAAAATGCACTTCATCATGGTCATATGAATTATTCCTGAGAGAATGTGTGGCTTAATTAGTAGGTACTTGTAGACCTTCTGCCAAAAAAGCAAGTGAGAAAAAACCTTGCCATAAGTAGAAGGTTTTTACAACGCTAATTGGTAGCTCTCTGATTTTTCTCAACTGGAGATCTACAGTTCTGCAGTTAATTGTTGACCACTTTGATGCATATATCTCTTCACTATTTGTTATGATGAATGTTTTCAAGACTTCTATAGGAGTAAGGGTGTTTCAACTCAAAACAGAACAAATTCTCATAGTCAAATGTAACTAATCACGTTTTGAATACTGCTAATTGCTTTGAATAATCAAAATTTGTTAGTTGATGATAATTTTGATTCTTAAATGTGAAAAGCCCATAAAAAGGTCAGCTTGACCTAATTTGGAAATAGGAGATTTTTCTTGAACATTTCAGAAGAATATCTGTGCATGCATTTCATTTACATGCAGTTGCTACTATCTTTAATGTATGCATAAAAAAGATTGAAGCAGTACATTAAAATTCTGTTGTACAGAGTGTATTATGCATGGTGTATGAGGGTTGTTCGATATGTATTGTGTATTGTACGATATCTCAAAAGCATTCGATTCAAATAGTCAAATGGACATTACATCCCTTCAAAGTATCCTCCGTGATTTGAAATACACAATTTTAATCTCTGAATCCATTTGTGAAATGCGTCACGGTACGCTGATTTAGGTATACCTCTGAGGCACTGACTGACGGCTGAGCCAAGGGCCTGTCGACGACCAGATAAGAACAGTTTAGCTCACCTGAGCCGAAGGCTCAAGTGAGCTTTTCTGATCACATTTTGTCCGGTGTCCGTCTGTCCGCCTATCTGTCCGTCTGTCTGTCTGTAAACTTTTCACATTTTCGACTTCTTCTCAAGAACCGCTGGACCAATTTCAACCAAACTTGCCACAAAGTATCCTTGGGTGAAGGGGATTCAAGTTTGTTCACATGAAGGGCCACACCCTCATTCAAGGGGAGATAATTGGGAATTAATGAAAATTTGGTGGTATGTTTTAAAAATCTTCTTCTCAAGAACCACTGTGCCAGGAAAGATGAAACTTATTGGGAAACATCCTCAGGTAGTGTAGATTCAAATTTCTTCAAATCATGACCCCCGGGGGTAGGGCGGGGCCACAATGGCCGACCAAATTTTTACATAGAAATATATAGGAAAATTCTTTAAAAATCTTCTTCTCAAGAATAGAAAAGCCAGAATTGATCATATTTATATGGAAGCATCCTCAGGTAGTGTAGATTCAAGTTTGTTCAAATCATGACCCCTGGGGATAGGGCGGGGCCACAATGGCCGACCAAAGTTTTACATAGAAATAAATAGGAAAATTCTTTAAAAATCTTCTTCTCAAGAATAGCAAAGCCATAATTGATCATATTTATTTGGAAGCATCCTCAGGTAGTGTAGATTCAAGTTTGTTCAAATCATGACCCCCGGGGGAAGGGCGGGGCCACAATGGCCGACCAAAGTTTTACATAGAAATATATAGGAAAATTCTTTAAAAATCTTCTTCTCAAGAAGAGAAAAGCCAGAATTGATCATATTTATATGGAAGCATCCTCAGGTAGTGTAGATTCAAGTTTGTTCAAATCATGACCCCTGGGGATAGGGCAGGGCCACAATGGCCGACCAAAGTTTTACATAGAAATAAATAGGAAAATTCTTTAAATATCTTCTTCTCAAGAATAGCAAAGCCATAATTGATCATATTTATTTGGAAGCATCCTCAGGTAGTGTAGATTCAAGTTTGTTCAAATCATGACCCCCGGAGGAAGGGCGGTGCCACAATGGCCGACCAAAGTTTTACATAGAAATATATAGGAAAATTCTTTAAAAATCTTCTCAAGAAGAGAAAAGCCAGAATTGATCATATTTATATGGAAGCATCCTCAGGTAGTGTAGATTCAAGTTTGTTCAAATCATGACCCCTGGGGATAGGGCAGGGCCACAATGGCCGACCAAAGTTTTACATAGAAATAAATAGGAAAATTCTTTAAATATCTTCTTCTCAAGAATAGCAAAGCCATAATTGATCATATTTATTTGGAAGCATCCTCAGGTAGTGTAGATTCAAGTTTGTTCAAATCATGACCCCTGGGGGTAGGGCGGGGCCACAATGGCGAATCTAAGTTTTATATATAAATTTATTGAAAAAAATCTTTAAAAATCTTCTTCTCAAGAATAGCAAAGCCACGATTGATCATATTTATATGGAAGCATCCTCAGGTAGTGTAGATTCAAGTTTGTTCAAATCATGACCCCCGCGGTACTTTTTCCTAGCTATAGTGCTCAGGTGAGCAATGTGGCCCATGGGCCTCTTGTTAAATTTTGGAAAAAGGAAAAAGTCGCATGGTGCTAGATCCGGAGAGTATGGTGGGTGTGGCAAGACGGTAACCTTCTCAGACTTCAAAAATTGCTTCACAAGCTCAGATGTATGTGATGGAGCATTATCATGAAGAAGGCGAACATGCCTAAATCCCGACACCGGACGTCGTTTCTGATAAAATTTCTTGAGCTTTTTCAGTACAACATCTCGGTAATACCGACCTGTAACACTTTTGCCCTTCGGCACTGGAATTTGTACGGCTAAACCATCACAAGAGAAGAATATGCAATGAAAGACCTTCTTTGTGCTCATTGTCCTTTTGGCAACTACAGGCCTTCTACCGTGTTTGGTTAGCCATAATTTGTTTCCAACTTTTCTTACTGGTTCAAAATAGTGAACCCATGTTTCGTCACCAGTAACTGTGTTTGCAAATTGTCTTTGATTGAAGTTTGGAAACATTTTTAGCAGTCGCTTAGCGGTTTGTATTCGTACCTTTTTTGGTCATCTGTCAATATATGGGGTATCCATCTGGCAGAAATCTTTCATACTTTCAAAATACGCTTCAAAATGAAATGCACCCGCAATAGCAATATGCCAACAGCTTTGGCAATATCACGAATCGTGTACCTGCCATCACTTTCAATTATTTCCTTGACTTTTGAGACATTTGTCTTGCCTGATACAGTCACAGGTCGACCCGATTTTGCTGCATCTTTGACGGACTCTGTGCCAGTCAGAAATTTCTGACTCCACCTACGAACTGTCTCAAAAGATACCTTATCAGACCCATAAACTTCCCCCAGTTCAGTAAAAATCTGCTTTACCGAATTACCGAGTTTTGTGCGAACTTTTATGTAAGCTCTAATTTCTTCAATATTCTCAACCCTTTTCCCAACCATTTTTACAACAGTGGTCAACGACTGGCTCTATTGAAATGATGATTACTTTATAACCATGTGTAGATGAAGGCTCTTGTTTATACTGTTGGCAAGGTATTGAATAGAGGTATCCAGGCGTATAAATATCGACGAAATCGTGCAAGGCGTTATCGCGCTGTGGTACAATACACAATACATATCGAACAACCCTCGTATTTATATAAATCGAAGTACAAATGTTATGTCAAATGTTTGAATGATCATTGTACACACAAGAGCTACATGTAACTCTGATTTTACTGAAACTCAGATTTGTGAAATGTACAATGAGTATATGCAAGTTAAAATAGAAGATAGGTCAGACTTAGATTAAAGAGGACTTAATTGTGCTACAATAGATTACATGAGGCAGATCATTTTAAAATTATTTTTGGAATGAATGATTTATTTCTGAACTTTCGTAAAACCTGAAAGCCATTTTGTGAATAATCGCATATAATATGTAGTTTTCCCAGTTGAACTAATTAATCATTAATCTGGTATTCCTTGATACCCCTAAGTGATGCTGTAATTGTTTCTAGAATGAAGAGTAATTTTTTAATGAATATAATTCAGTGTCTCTTTGATTTTAGTTGCGTCTGACCATCGTGGAAGCTATGGGTCACATGACACACCTAATGGCCAAGGAAAAGTTAGAGGAAGTGTTACCTAGGGTGCTGCAGGGTATTTTGGGATTGTACAAGAAACATCCAGAACCATTTCATATCACACAGGTACATTTGAATATTTAACCAAGACGCACACACATTTATTTGATGTAGTGCTTAGTACTAATCATACGATATATGAAAATGCTAAACTAGTGAACCAATCAGTTCCTATAGCTGAACCATGTTAAAAAACCTCCTATTATAACATAGGTATATTAAGTCAGGTAGTCCTATCAATTCATCATTTCCTTTTTGGGGATTTATTTTATAAAACATTGCACAACACCAGTTACATTATTACAATTAATTACATTCTTTGTTTTATTACAGGGATTATGTAATGTTCTGGATGCTGTTTGTACAGAATGGAACACATAACATTACACCTGTTACATTATTACAATGATTACACACCCTATTTGATTACATGGATTATGTAATGTTCTGAATGCTGTTGTTCTAAGGGAACACATAACATTACACCTGTTACCGTAATTTCGGGATTATAGGTCGATGGGGTATATAGGTCGAAAGGCTCATTTTCAGCCTTAATTTTTGAAAAATCCTAAGATAGGACGAACTTACTATATAGGACGAGGCTTTGTTTCCCATTTTCTAAAGATTCTTACGCAGATACAACGTATCAGAACAGGTAAACCCCTAAAATTACCGGGGTTATTCGTGACATGAACGTATCAAGAAAATAAACACGTATTTTAATGAGTATAGCATTTAAATAAAGTTTTTAAAAAAAAAAATGTAGTTAAAACTTCTTTAAATTGTGTTACTTCTTATTTTTCTCCAACTTGTCTGTTCAATGCCGCCGTAGTTTCACACTGTTGTTAAATCAGATGCATAAATAACACGTAAATACGTTAATATTTTACAGCTATAGTTCGGGAAATACCCGAGACCAAAGAATAGTAATTCCGATTTCAGAACAACTTGGACACATTCCTAATAAATTTTATTTAGACATTATTTACCGGTGGACGACAATTACTTCGATGTCCGCCATTTTTATTTTTCTTCTCCAGGGATTTGCTAAAACACGCAAATGACCATTGAATGTATATATCAAGCAACAGTAAAGAATTGAAATCATATTAACACTCTATAGTTTAATTTATAAATTTAATTGAGAGTACATTCACAATTTGACTGTCAACATGAATTTCACGGCTTTGTTTGTTCAATGATGTGTAACACCAATACCCTATAATGGCACGTGGGTTTCTTAATCATGCCCCGCAGGCATTTAAACTATACACAGGTGTTATAACACCTTTGCTTACACAGTGTAAATCCCTTTATCTGTCAGACAGTTAAAAATTCTGTTAGAAGCCAATCTTTGTATCGGTATATTCAAGATAAGTTCGTTTGACCAGTATTACAATTAATTAAAATTAAAAAAAACACAGTAATGACTAGCGTCTTTTTTTTTGGTAATTAAATTTAGGAATTGAATGGCAACAAATTATTTCACTCACTTTACATTTAAATAAAGATAAGACAATAAAAAATATTTAATATACTACTTCAATTTATTGCTACTAATAAATAGTAAAAACACTACAGTTGTGATCGTGAAAAATTTCCGTATTTTAAATTTTGATACGGTTGCGGTTTTACTTTTAGTACACGATCGCGACTTCCTAACTTCACAAGATGGATACCGCATGATGTTAATGGACAATACGTTGAGGAATTATTTAATAGATGAAGCAATGTTGTTTTCCTTTGTCATCAACGGATAATTAATGGAATTTATTTTGTAAGAAAGCTATAGAATAAATATTTTATTGTTTACCGGGGCATTAATTTTTTTGCGAAAAATAATCAAAAAAGTTACGAAAGTGGCACAAATTTGCTTTGAAATTGACGTAAATTTTACTGATTAGGGGGCATTTTTCATAAACTTGAGCCTTAAATAGGTCGAATTCTGTATATTGGGCGACCCCAGCGGTTCTGAGAAAAAAGTATCGACCTATATTCCGTAAATTACGGTACATTATTATAATGATTACATTCAGTATTTGATTACAGGGATTATGTAATGTTCTGGATGCTGTTTGTACTAAGGAGAAAACATTACATAACACTTGTTACATTAATACAATGATTATATTCTCTGTTTGATTACAGGGATTATGTAATGTTCTGGATGCTGTTTGTACTAAGGAGAAAACATTACATAACACTTGTTACTGTAAACCAACTTTTATTCGCGTGCGAGTAATTTTCGCGAAGTTCGCGAGAGCCTCGTCATCGCGAATATTTCTCGCCGCGAACAGGTTCTTAAAGACTATGTGTCTATTAAAAAGAGAATCTAAATAGGCTTTATCGCGAAAATTAATCGTCGCAAACTAGTTTACCCCCGATCAATCGCGAAATAAAGTCGTCGCGAATAAAAGTTGGTTTACAGTATATTAATACAATGATTATATTTTCTGTTTGATTACAGGGATTATGTAATGTTCTTGATGCTGTTTGTACAGAATGGAACACATAACATTACACCTGTTACATTATTACAATGATAACATTCCCTATTTGATTACATGGATTATATAATGTTCTGGATGCTGTTGTTCTAAGGGGAACACAATACATTACACCTATTGCATTATTACAATGATTATATTCTCTGTTTGATTACAGGGATTATGTAATGTTCTGGATACTGTTTGTACTAAGGAGAAAACATTACATAACACATTACTTTATTACAATGATTACATTTTCTGTTTGATTACAGGGATTATGTAATGTTCTGGATGCTGTTTGTACTGAGTGGAACACATTACATTACACTGTTACATTTATACAATGATTATATTTTCTGTTTGATTACAGGGATTATGTAATGTTCTGGATGCTGTTTGTACTGAGTGGAACATGTTACATTACACTGTTACATTATTACAATGATTACATTTTCTGTTTGATTACAGGGATTATGTAATGTTCTGGATGCTGTTTGACTGAGTGGAACACATTACATTACACTGTTACATTATTACAATGATAACATTTTCTGTATGATTACAGGGATTATGTAATGTTCTGGATGCTGTTTGTACTGAAGGGAACACAATTCTGGAACCACAGCTGGAAGGACTCTTGTCAGCTTTATTCCCACAGGTGAGATAACGAGCCAGGATTTACCTGTTTCTACAGGTGAGATAACGACTAAACGAGGCAGGATTTTCCTGTTTTCTCCGGTGAGCTAGACACCCTATTTATCACAGCTGTACTGTAATAAAATGCACAGAATATAAAATTTAAAACCTCAAATAAAAAATTATAGAAATTAAAATATTTCCATTTCTAATATTTTTCTCTGTGATAACTCTTTGAAAGTTAGGGGTAGTTTATTTCTTGATAATTCTGCCGGAATGTAAATTAGGCAGGTCGATAGGTCGGGAGCTAAGGAAGCCTAATACGCATGCAATTCTCGTGCGCATCTGTCTCTGTGTCTGACGCTAAGGAGGCCAAATATGCATGTAAATTTCGTGCGGCTGCCTTTGTGTTTGACGTCGGTTGGCGAGGACTATTGAAATTGGCATGGACGTGATCATGTGATTTAAATCTATTTAGCTACATTTTTAAAGTCTAAATCTACAATTTTATTTCACAATGAAATGGAAATATAAGGAATCACTGTCTATTTAGGAGGGTATGTCAGGGACATCAACAATAGTGGGAAACATGGGATAATTTAAGCATAATGGGCTTCGCCCGTTATGCAAATTATCCCATGTTTCCCATTATTGTTGATGCCCTGACATACCCTCCTAACTAGACAGTGATTCCTTAATTATATTGACACTTTCTAGAATTTTTTTAACATTCTTATGAACATTTTAATGTTACTTTTTTGTGATTATTTACGGTGTGTTCCCAGTACACCTACCAAACCTCCTATTGTTGTGGGGGACTCAAATATGAAAATTTCCTTCATTAGCACTGATGAGTTTAAAATATCCAACATTTGATGTTTTGTCTCAAGATTGCCTAGATTTGAATCATTAAAATTAAAAAAAAAATTAAAAAAAAAAAACTCGTCATTTTCATCGGTATAAGAAATGCCATATGTCTTAAGTTGATATTTCCTCTACTCCTACATGTGATAAACTAAAAGACTGGATCAATGACTTTTTGCTGTTTGATATTAAAGTCAATGTTCAACAAGTTATGTAAAAAAAAAAAAAGAAGAAATGAACACATTAACCAGCACTTTTTTATGAAAGCTAAAAAAAAGATCTGTAGATAACAAGCACAAAGTATCCAGATTTAAATATAACCAATATAAGTATAACATCACTCTTCTGACTTTCAAGCCTCTAGAACATGTATTTATCAACAGAGCTGCCAACCCTTACGGTTTTGGCATAAGACTTACGGTTTGGGCATCTGAAATAAGCTTTATGATTTATCAGTTTCTCCTCATGATCTCCATCGTTCTCTCCATCAAACATTTGAATTACTGGTAATTTAAAAGCGTTCCACATTCAGTTTTTGCCGATTTAAATATGAAAGTAATTCTGCTTGCTTGTATTGTATTGCTAATTTACAATCTATATTTAAAAGTAATTAAATGAATATGAACGGCAGCAGGGGGTCTATGCAGCTTCTGAACTTCTTCATTAAGATTTTTCATTTTATGATGTTGGCAGCTCAATATGTACCTAATATTTCTCATAATACATTTAGGTTAAGGACCTTGCCAGTAGGTTTCAACAATTGCCAACATTAAATGTTCATAACCTAAAATATAGAAAGATGTTTGTAGTTCTTGGGTACTGGAAAGTTAGGTTTCAACAACTGCTTACATTAAATGTTCATAACCTGAAATATAGGATGATGTTTATAATTCTTGGGTACTGGAAAGTTATGTAATCTTCACAGCCCTCCAGCTGCTTCAACACCGGAAGTCATCGCCCACATTTTTATCTAGATTAACTTGCGGGGTCCAGGGGGGATTTCTTACTGAATAGGGCCATCCTTTTGAGGTTATGAACAATTCCGTTAAAAAAAAGTTCGTGAAAATCATGATAAAAACAAATGTTTTGATAATTAATTGAGCTTACTTATTAAGAATGACAGGAAAGACGTGTCTTTATAGGTGTTCACCCCCCCTGACTACAATAATCCACTGAGTATCAAAAGCCACAACGAAGTGCTGAGGTGCTTTGCAATATTAGGTAGGAATTTTTTTTTTGTGAGTTTGCTTTTGATAAATGAATTGTTAAATTGGTTTTACATGAACCATTATATAACTGTTGGCTCTGTTGATCACTTCCATTGGATCGCAGTTGATAAGCTTAATATTGTGTGTAATACCTTGTGTTATCCAATGGTTTTGAAGGTCACTCCCAGCTGATGATATTACTTATTAGGTTTGTTTTTAACTGTTTATGGAAATATAAGAGGTGGTCATTCTCATATAAATTGCAAGATGAAGCCAATCCCTCTTAAGATCCTATCAATTCTATTGACACTTTTAATTATTTATTCAAGGAGAGTCCTTTAATTTGCTATCAATTTCTTTAATTGACTTATATTAGATTTGAACATGTTTGATGTTTTACTTCCTGTTTTTGTTGTTGATATTTTTACCTCACATGGGCTGAAAGCTCACGTGAGCTTTTCTGATTACCTGTTGTCTGGCGTCCTTCCCTTTGTCCGTCTGTCTGTCTGTCTGTTAACTTTTCACATTTTCAGCTTCTTCTCAAGAACCACTGGGCCAATTTAATCAAAGTTGACATAAAGCATCTTCAGAGAAGGTTAAATTATTAAAATGAAGGGCCAAGTTTTGTTCCAAGGATAGATAATAAAGAACATAAGGATATATGAGCTCATAAGAAAATATTCTTCTCAAGAACCACTGGGCCAGTAAAACTGAAACTGTGGAAGCTTTCTTTGGTCATGTAGATTCTATAATGTTCAAATCATAAACCTGGTGATAGGATGAGGCTACAATAGGGAATTTAAAGTTTTACATTGAAATATATAGGCAAAACCTTTAAAAATCTTATCAAGAACCATTTGAACAGAAAAACTGAACTTGTGTGGAAGCATCCTGGGTAGTGTTAATTCTAAACTGTTCAAGTCATGACTCTCTGGGGTAGTATAATTAGTATGGGACCATTAGGAATAGTACAATGGGGAAATCTGTTAAAGAATAGCAGGACCAAAGTTACTCAGGTAAGTGTTGTGGCCCATGGGCCTCTTTTCCTGATACTATACTACAATACTGTACTTGTAATTTTAAAATCATCCTTTCTTCTTGGGATTTTAGTCATTGTATGTATATTCAGTTTAAGATATCTGATATTTCTAGATTGTATTCATGTTACTTTTTCTTCATTTTAAAAAGATTAAACTTTTTTCAGAAAAGTTTCTTCTATATCTTTATGAATCACATGATTTAATATATTCTTTGGAGTGATATTAAGAGATGAACTGAGCTGATTTTGTTTTTTAGCCAGGCCTTTTTCTGGGAAGCTGACTGGCATTCTTCTACAGAGACTAGAACAGGGGAACGAGAAAGTCCGCATTGGAATCCTGACCATCTTCAAACACCTGATTAACGCTGCCAGTAGGTGGTTCTCATGATCAGTCTGTCAGAGCTGGAGTAGATGTAGCATTATGTCAGCTAGTATCAGCTAGTGAATAATATCATTTAGAGTATTGCTTAGAATATCAACAATTCTAATGTATTACAAACCAGAATATGTTGACTT